GTTTCTTCTTGGCCTTTTGCCTTCAAGGAAATGTTCCAAGATGCACGGCCGGCATTATGGCTCTCATGTCAATGCTACTCCCGACAAGTCCCCCACCTGAAGAGCAACTGCGAAGCAGATAGAATGCTGATTGTTTCATTCATACAATGCAAAACCTGCTTAACATCAGTGGCACTCCTATAGTTGGAGGCGCCTTCCAACAGCTTCCCCGGGCAAATCGTCAATGACGTCATCGGAGCCCACCAAACTGAGACTCACCCACACGCGCTTGCACTTGCACACACAGCGTCCAAACTCAACAAGTAAGCACGGGGCATAAATACATGCAAGATCGCTTGATCACAAACATATCCAGGGAACACAGCAAACAAAGTCTGATTCTGAATCTTTACCAAAAACATGAACGGGACAACGGACTGGATTTTCTCAGAAAAGTCCAGAGTACTTGCACAGCACAAAACAAAAACGATGCTGCAAAGGTAACGGCTCCCCAAACGAAACACGCAAAGATAAAGAAAAAAGAATGTTCGGTGGTATTCCGTGCTATTTTCTTGCACGCGGGCTTTGGTCTGCTCTCAGGCTCTTCTTTTTCTTATTGTGAAAGAAGCGGCATATGATAGGGCAGTTCCTTATGCGTTTTCTTTCTTTTGTGCTTTTTTTTTTCTGTTTTTGCCGGCGAAGCCGCAACCGGTCATCTAGTCTATTTTTAAACTTCGTTTTTTTTTTTTAATCAGCTGTTCTGCAGCCAAAAGAAAGGGAAAAAAAAGAAAGTATTGGCCACACGCCTGTGAAGGAGGTGGTTGCTGCCGCTTGTGTATTAGACTTTGAAAGGCTTATCAGCCCTTCGGCCCGTTTCCTGGTTATATGATATCTGCTTTGTATTGAAAAAAAAAAAAAATCCTGGCCAAGGATTGCTCGAACATAACAGAGGAGTTTGCACAAAAAAAAAAGAAGAAGAAAACGATTTAGAAAAATAAAATAAAGAAAAAGCTTGTCGTGCCTATCGTTTCTTGTGCTTGTTTTAAATTTGATTGGTAGCTTCTTTACAAGGTTTCAAAAGACCACAATATTTCCCCCCCCCCGGTAGAAACACGGACTGAGACATGCAGGTGATTTCTGAGTTTTGCGCATGGAATGTATCCGGTTGCTGAGTGTCCCGCATGTTGCTGAGTTTTCTAAGTCTTTGGTGGTCTGCCTGCCAGTCTGAGTGCGTGTCGGCTTCGTGCGTGGTGGTCTGCATGCCAGTCTGAGTGCGTGTCGGCTTCGAGTGTGTGTGTGTGTGTGTGACCGGCAAGGGGACTTGGTTGATCGGAAGGTGAGAAGGGCTGGTACTTACCTGTGGGGGTGACATTGAGGGTTGCAGCGGGGAAAACACAAGTGGCAGGTAAAGAGGCCACTACTCTAGGCCGAGCAGAAGAAGACAAAAGTTGGCATTTTTAGAGGCCCAGTAGTTGTAGGGTAGGTCTAGGCGGGTACCAGTCCAACCAGTCTGAGTCGAGGGCCTGTACGGGCGATATCAGAGTCTGCAATGATGTTTCCCTCCGAAAGGGAGGAGGTACCGGTTACTTGGAGGCCTTCGCGGCCTAGGAAGTCACGTGCGAAGAGGCAAGCAGGCAGCCTCATTGTCGGTGTGCAACTTTGGCGAAACACTGGTTGGAGCGCTAGCATCAGAGCAGCGCTAGTATCAAGAGCAGCACCGCTCGGGAGGAGCAAGGACGGGAGGAGCAAGGACAGGAGGAGGAAGAAGAGCAGGATGAGGAGGGAGGAGCGCCAGGGGTACTTACCTGGCTATGGTGGATACCATCTTNCAGGAGGAGGAAGAAGAGCAGGATGAGGAGGGAGGAGCGCCAGGGGTACTTACCTGGCTATGGTGGATACCATCTTCATCACCTTGGTGGACGCTGCATCTGGAAGCCCCACGTTGGGGTAGAGCTGCACCAAGACTCTTTGAGGCCAGGCATGGTGGCCTGAGCTAGAGCAGCCATGGCTGCTTTGTGTTGTCCTTTGCACAGCACGGCGCCATAGCCTCGGCCGTGAGAGGAGGAGGAAGAAGGGTGGCCATGGCTATGGTGGACCTAATGTGATGCCTGCAGTAGAAGAGGGATTCGGTCATTGATCCTGGTTCAGCCATTCAACATCATTATTATTATTATTATTGTTGTTGTTGTTATTATTATTATTGTTATTATCATTATTGTTATTATTATTATTGTTATTATAATTATTTCTTGTTTTAATAAGAGGGGAGGAGATAAGGAGGAGGAGAGTGGTTTGGGAAGAAGAAGAGCATTATCATGGGCCTATGCTGGTGTACATCATCTTCTTCTTCTTTCTTTCTTTCTTCTTCTTCTTCTTCTTCTTCTTTCCCTCTCTCTCCTCTCAAGCTCATTTTTCTTTTTGCAATTGGATGGCATTGTACTTTCTTAAATTGGCCAGGATCATAACACCTGAACATTTGTGCACCTTCCCCCCCCCTCCACCCCCTTCACCCCCCTTCTTTCTTCCTTCTTGTTTTGAATCGGAACCTTGCACCTGTTTTACTTATGATTGTGTCTCTTTTTTTTTTAAGATGTTTTTTGGGGGGCGTAAATGGGAAACTGTCGCCCGTTACTTATGTGTGTGTGTGTGTGTGTGTGTGTGTGTGTGTGTGTGTGTTTGTGTGTGTGTGTGTGTGTGTGTGTGTGTGTGTGTGTTTCCCTGTATTTTTGGTTCTCAGGCTAAGCAAAAACTTCGCAAGATCTCCAAAAGGGATTGTCGGGCACTGGCGGTCTCAGATCCCCAGTGGATGATTTTGACTGTTCTTCCAGTCCCTCCTGTGGCAGTGCGGCCCTTCGGATTTGGCGATCCGACTGGAGCCAAGGTAGGCAATGCTGTAAAAAAAAAGAAAAAAGAAGAAAAAAGGTAAGTAATGCTGTGTAGTGAGTCTAATGACCTGTAAGACATGCGTTTTTTTTTTTTTTTTTATGGAGTGCAAGGATTTGAATTTTGAACCCTCGGCATACGTGCATATGGCCCCTACCAGCAAGCATGTGCCCACCCTAAGTGAAGGCCCCCGAATCTCAGTGAGGCCTTTCGTTGTCGATTTTGCAAAGCATTGGTCGGCACCGGACGGTTGCCTTGCGCCAGTTGGTTTACAACCGCCCTGCTTGTGAGAATCAGAAATATTTGTGAGCCTTCTAGCGGAAGCAGGAAACACCGCACGTTTGCGCCTGGGTGGTTGGGCATGCCTAACCAATTCGGTCCGAGGCCATTATCTGAAGGAGCCTGCTGGGCGCAGACACTTTTGCCCAAGCTGAAGCTACGCGCCAGTTGGTTACATCCGCCCTGCTTGTGAGAATCAGAAATATTTGTGAGCCTTCTAGTGGAGGCAGGGAACACTGCACGTTTGCGCCCGGGTGGTTAGGCGTGCCTAACCGATTCGGTCCGAGGCCATTATCTGAATGGGCCTGCTGGGCGCAGGCACTTTGGCCCAACCTGAAGCTACACGCCAGTTGGTTACATCTGCCCTGCTTGTGAGAATCAGAAACATTTGTGAGCCTTCTAGGGGAAGCAGGGAACACCGCACGTTTGCGCAGGGGTGGTTGGACATTCCTAACCAATTCGGTCCCCCAGGCCACTGTCTGAATGGGCCTAGGCGCAGACACTTTTGCCCAACCTGAAGCTACTGGGCACACGCGCGAGGGAGGCCAGGCAGTCAAACCAGCCGGCAACTCTGGATATAGCAAAGTGCCTGCCTGGCCGGGCAGCAGGCATGCGGGCACTTGCTAGTGCAAGCGGCAGTGTTGCGGGAGCGTTCACTCGCGCCTGCTTGCAGCGCTGGGTGGTGCAAGAATGCGAACGCGGTTGCGAGAAAGAGGGCGCTGCAATAAGGCAGCGCCATAGCCCAGCCCCCGTAGACGGGGCTTGGCCTTGGAAGGAGGTCAGCGGGGTTCACCGGTGGTTCTTGGTTGGTGTAGAGCCGCGGGAGGAGATGGCGAGGGTGAGCAAGAGAGGGCGTGGTGCAAGAACGCGAACGCGGTCGCGAGAAAGAGGGCACTGCAATAAGGCAACGCCATAGCCCAGCTCCCATAGCCGGGGCATGGCCTTGGAAGAAGGTCAGCGGGGTTCGTCGGTGGTTCTTGGTTGGTGTAGAGCCGCGGGAGGAGATGACGAGGGTGAGCAAGAGGGCGAGTGAGGGAGATGGTGTGAGAGCATGTACAGGTCTTGGCGGAGGTCTGCATGGTTGGCATCTGCATGTACTTCGGCTGCGGCTGCTGACGTTAACTGGTTGCTTCATCATTCCGTAGGCTGGTAGAGTAGCTGTAGGACCGTAGTCTGGGCACTGAGCGCCGTTAGGCGCAAGAGCTTCGATTGCATTGTTGGTGGTGGCGACAGTGTATGCTTTCATTGACGATTGGGTTCGCTGCTTTGGTTCTCCTTTGGTGGGTTTTTTTTTTTTTTTACACAAAAATACCAGCCCCTTCTATTCTGGGGGGCATCAGTCCGGTTACTTATTTACCGGCAAGCATGAGTTCAAAATTGTTTCAACAAAAGGAAAGTGAAGAAGGGTCAGCCCAGCCCTTGCAGTACTAGTCACCTACTCAAGGGGGGGGGGGCATTTGATGGTCGGGAAGCGTACTAGCAGCACCCAGTCATACATCAGGTGGGCCTTAGGGAGGACAAGGCGCTGGGGAGGCCCTCCTAGCAGCCTCTCGGGCCGCAAGTCTTAAGTCTAGTCCTACGCATTCAAACGAAAAGCAACCACACAAAAAAGAAGAGAACAGCAATCATCATTCCAACTATTCCTCTCCTCCCTACTACTACCCCTCGTCCCTCTCGATATGTTTTTCTTCGCATGCTCTCCTGTCATTCCCCCTATCAACCAGCAGGCTTTCCTTTCTCGCCACACCCTATATGTCTTACCTGCATTTCATCATCGATGGTCCCCAGCTTGCATCACCAAGTTTTTCCTTTTTGCAAATATACCCGTGATCCCCATCCCCTCCTCCCCTCCTACCCCAAAGAAGCCTTTTTTATTCTACCCAACCTTCCACCAGAACCTAATATGGTACAGTACCAAAAGTAGCTCCTCCTTAACTACCTATTCCAACTTCAGGCGGCTACCTATTGTACACTTCCGCCATCCCATCGCGGTCTCATGACCTATTGTCAGGACCGTTCTTCACTCCTATCATATCTAGGCGCGTGGCGCTGCAAGATGGGGCCATACCGCAGTCGGCCTGTTTGGGGTTCCCGAATTACCAGCTGCGGGTATGGACCCCATATCTCCCAGAACCCATTCAACCTGGCCTCCCCGATGTGATCGCCCCGGCATAAGTCCGCCATTAGGGCGATTCTGATGTTTGCCAGCTCTTGGTATGCTTGGAATGGCGGCATCGCGCCTTGCCTGCATCTCTCATTCCTCAGTGTCCATAGGGCCCACAACTCCCCTATGTGATCGCTCCAACGTAAGTCCGCCATTAGGGCGATTCTGATGTTTGCCAGCTCTTGGTATGCTTGGAATGGCAGCATCGCGCCTTGCCTGCATCTCTCATTCCTCAGTGTCCATAGGGCCCACAACACCAATAAGGAATCTGTCACTCAAGAATCTATGAGGATGAATCTAACACCATTTTTTTGCTTTTATCGTCTTTTCCTTCCAGTCTTTCCAGATATATTTGGGGCCAGAGCGAGGCCCTGAAAAAAAATTACCCTGCCCATCTCTCAAATTTTTTTCACAGGGCGGATTAACTACGGTTCAGCACACTATGCGACTTTTTTTTTTGAAAAGGGGGGGGGGGGGGGGCGTAAGGGAAGGGACCCGGATTTTCGGCCATGCGGCGCACCGGGTGCGCGGTCCACGTGCGCAATGCGCTATCCGGCTCGCGTGCTCGCCAGTCGCGCGCACGCGATGCGCCGCAAGTACGCTTTGAAGTTTGAACCCTTTGACAAACCTTTCCTTCACGGTCACTTTTTTTTTTTTTTTTTTTTTTTTTGGAAAAGAAAGTTAGGTACGTTATTCTTCTCTCAATTCCACCTCACATTACCTACCTACCACCACTCCTAATTATAATCATACAGGCAAGAACATGCAGGGGCTGCTCCCGACCTGCAGGTGGGCGTCTGGGTTTGTACAAGAGCACAAGTAAGATTGACGGCCTGACGGAGAACTGCTAGCCTGACGGGGCAGAAGAGACTGAGATCATGGATGTATGCAAGCTATGTTTCTGGTAATATACAGGCAGGGTGGGTGTGTGGGTGGGTTTGGTTTTCAAAGGGAGCCCTCCTCCATGTGTTCTGTGCAAGTACAAATGAAGGCTGGGAGTCCAGAATGCACACTACTCTGCCACCTGTGCCAAAAACTATCCGGATCTCTGCTGTGCTTGTGCTTTGTGAAGCAGTCTTAGCAGTGTGCATTCTTAAAAAAAAAAAGAAAACCCAACACAAAGGGAATTTTGCTTTACTCAACTTGATTTTATTGTTGCCCTTCCTGTCTGTGGCCTTTTTTTTTTTTTTTTTTTTTTTTTCAAGTTTGCTGGCATTTGGAAATCATTGAGGCTGTGTAATGACTTCAGAAATATGTTGTTGAAGTGTCAAATTTCTGCCATTAATGTTTTGGTAGTTAAGTTTATCCCTTGTGACTTGGGGGAGGGTATTCGTACCCTTTGTGACCTTTTTTTTTGGGGGGGGGAAATTGCTACCCCTTGTGGCAACAGGGGGAGGGTATTGATAGCCGGCAGGCTTGTTGTGCTGGGCTTTGGCTGGACGAATTGCAATTTCAAAACTTGCGCACTAGCCTTCCTCAGGGCTGGGTGTATATTCCTCTTCCTCTATTATCTTGACCCGGTACATCACCCTCTCTACCTGTAATCTTGACCAGGTACATGACGACACTGATGGCTCTTCTGATGTGTTCTCTGGAACAGCGGATGGATCATCTAACGAGCAAGCTCAAGGAGATCATCCTACAAAACAAGCGCGTTCAGAAGAACAAGCTGGACCAGAATATCGCCAAGCTGCAGAATCTTGTTCTGGATTATCTTGGGTCACAGCTCAATAAAGTGAGTAACCCGTTAACCCATTTTACCCACGTGACCCCTTTTACCCCTCTAACCTACGCTACCAGAGCGGCCCGGGACCACTTGCCCAGGCGGGTCAAAAAAAAAAAAAAAAAAGTTTTATTCTAGGCCACCAGAGTGGCCCGGGGCAACTTGCCCGGCCGGATATATTATTTTTTGATTTTATGTTTTATTCTAGGCTAGCAGAGTGGCCCGGGGCAACTTGCCCGGCCGGGCCAAAAATAAATAAAAAACTTAAAAAAAAGTTAATAAAAACAAAAACTAAAAATATTATTTTACTATTTTTATTTCCAATGTGACCTGAGGCAAAAGTTGTTCTGTTTAATTTTCTGCATCACATAGTTTTCTTTCGCATTTTTCCGTTTTTTCAGCTTGTTTTCTTTTTTCGCTGGGCACTTCCGTGGTCCTTGCACGGCCCCTGGCTGCCCGGTGAAACAAGCTGACCTGGGCGGGCCAGCTGACCTGGGCGGGGCCGGCTGGTAGCCCAGGTTTTATTTCAAAAAAATTGTTAAAGAATTTCAATGTGACCCTGTGGCAAAACTGTTCAGTTTATTTTTCTTTTTTTTTCCCTCAGATTTTTTGGATCTTTGTTTCTTTGTCGGGACCTTCCCTGGTCCTTGCATGGCCGGACTGCCCAGGAACACACAGTGACGTGGGCGGCCTGGCTGGTAGCCTAGTCGCAATGAAATCATATGATGCGATCATGAAAAGCATACTACACGTAGAAATTAGGATTAACACCATAGATTCAAAAGCATATTTATTTTCCCCCCTGTAACCCATTTTCCCCACGTGACCCCTGTAGTTCCTCTAACCCCTGTTTTACCTTTTTTACCCATTTTTCCCAAAACCTTTCGAAGAAACATAGAACATTGTAACCACAGTACGATCCGGGGTAAACCCGAGCCTGTCGGAGATGCAGAATCTTGCTCTCGACTATCTTTGCTTGAGGCTGACTCACGCGAATATTTTTGTCATTCTTACCCCTACAAGTTATTGCCCTTTTTTTTTCACCGATTCGCAATGATCCACAAATTCAGTGTCTTTGACACCACACCACGTTCAACTTTCATCACACGAACTTCACTCACACGAACTTCACACACGAGAGATGCACTGCAACACGATATGACAAAAATTGGAAGATGCAGCTTTGTTGCTTGGAAATTCTGAGTCTTTTGCAATGAGTGTCCTTTATGTTACTGAGCGGCCATGGCCACTGACACTGTACAGCTCTCTCTCTCTATATATATATATATCACAGCCCCTCGTTTGTTGTCCTCTTCTCCCTCTCTGCCTACGGTTTACCGGGCAGTTCTATTTGACGATATATATATATCCCCCCTCACCACCTTGCTGAACCCGTAGCTATGGTGGATCATGTCTGCCATGCACGGATGACCAAAGGACAATCAATGCTTCTTCCTCCTGCCGCTACAGCAGTAGCGTGTCTTTGAAAACTCAGGGTCAGATGCCCGGGCCAAGAAAAGGCCGAGTTCGTCAAACTCAGAAAAGTCACAATCGGGTACCTCAGCAGTCTGGTCCCACAGGCACCCAACAAACAGTCATGTCTCAGGGACAAGAGTCACGTTTCCTAATGAAAAGTCATATTGAAGAGACACATCCCACGAGTAAAAGGTAGTTTCACAGGCAAAAGTCGTGACCCACAGGCAAGAGACACTGTCCACAGTCAAAAGTCGTATTCACAAGTGAAAAGTCATGACTCAAGGGCCCAAGCAGCAGCAGTCCAATGGAAATCGGGGAAGGTTCCAGGCCTTGACCTTCAGTAGCAGACAGGCCGTGGGGATGTGGTACCGGAACTAGGCAGGACCCAAGAAATAGAGGCTGGCACGAGTTGAAGTGCAAACCAAGACTACAAAAGGACTGACCAGCCTCACATTTGGGCAGATTGCTTATTCGAAAGAAGCATGGAAGTGCTGGTGCACTTGTGCGCTGAAGTGAGGAGCAGAGCACTGAAGCCAGAGTGCTGCGCTAAGTGAGGGAGAGAGAGGAAGATAGCGCTGGCAGGGAGAAGGCAGCCATAACTGCACCAGTGCAGAAGTGTTAGTGCTAGCTGTTAGTAGTAGACTCCAGAGAGGGTTAGTAGAGTTAGCAGTGGGTGTATTCAGAGTAGATCCATGAAATAGTAGATAGTGAGTGTGATTGCATGTAGGGAGAGAAGACACAGCGTGGTCGTAGCTAGGGAGAAGACCAGCAAGGTGGAGAGAAACATAAGAGGGAAGAGCAGAGGGGAAGAGATACTTACCTGAGAGTTTATGCTGATTATTGGTTACCTATTGGCACGCGCTGATGAGCGCTGGTGAGTTGAACTTTTATTGCTCTTGTAATACCTTCTGGAAAAGATAAGCTGTGCTACCTGGTCTTCATCTCTCTGGTCTCCAGTGTGAATTTCGTGTGAACTCATACATGCATGTGATGTCAATATGTGCACTCATTGGTGTTGAACTAGGAGGTTCATTGCATCTTTCTCCTCACCAGCTTCTGAGCTGGTAGCTATGGCGGATCCTCCCTGCCATGAGGTCCAAGTCCAGCCAGTCGCCAAACTGCCATAACCTGTCGCCAGGATGAAGTCCAAGTCCACCCTTGTCCTCCTCTCTCCATAGCCTGCCTTGAGCCTCGCCTACTCCTCTGTCCATAGGTGGTCGGCACTCACACCCTTCTCTGTCATAGCCATCAGAACGCCGCAAAGTCACTTTTCATTCTTTTTCAACCAATGGGTTTTGTCGCTCTTTTTTGTCACTTTTTTTGTCACTGTTTTGTCACTTTTTTGTCACTTTTTTTTCACTTTTTTTTTCACTTTTTTGTCACTTTTTTTTGTCACTTTTCTGTCACTTCTGTGAATTCGACGGGTATCTGGATTTTCCGAAGGGGTCAAAAATCTAATGTGAATGGAATCAATGGATTCATCCGCAGTAGGTGTAATTGCTCAGGAACAGCTTCGCTGGTTGTCGACCCAAAAGAATCATGAATAATTACGAAGTGCTTGCGTGACTGTTTTTTTTTCGGTTAATTAGTAACTATGAAGTGCTTCCTGGAAGTGGGAATTTCTTTGTCAAATTAAAAAAATGAAAAAAGCATGGCTACGCTGGACCCGGACCCGGACATTTCCGGACATGGAACCGGACCTGTGTCCGGTAGTTTCCGGACGTTCGGAATTCCGGACCTCCGGACATGGGGGGATCCGGACGGTCCGGATGTCTGGACAGGTCCGGAAATGGCTGGACCATTAAAAAAATAAAAAGATGAAAAATCTGAAAAAAAAGTATGCTATGCAGAATAACAATGCAAACCACTTTTGCCTCAGAGTCATGTCAGAATTCCTAACCAAACTTCAGTTACAAGTCAAAAACTATAAAAAGTTATTAAAACGCTTTTAAAAAGACTTAAAAAACTAATAAAAGGCAACGAATTATTAATAATTAAAAAATTGGGGTTGTCTAATAAATTATTATAGAGAGAGAGCATGTCCGGACCCCCCAAAAAAGCATAAACGGGCCTGAAAAACCCCCAAAACAATTTTGGGGGCTTGGCTCCTCAATGGGGAAGGGTCCTGGACCGTTTTTTTTTTTTTTTTTTCACTTGAATTTTGGCAGATCCGGACCTTCCAGACTGGACGTCTGGAGTCCGGACTGAATCCAGACCGTCTGGACGGCGGTTCGGACGTCCGGATCGTAGCCATGGAAAAAAGTGAAGCTTCTGGAAACCAGAAATAATATATTTCTGGTTTTCAGAAATCGTAGGTGTTGGATACAACGCTAGTAGTAATCCACGGTTCTCCATAGTCGACTTCTATGGTGGCCTTTTCAAGGTCTCGGAGTGGCATATGAAAAAAAAGCTTGTAGTTTAGAGAGGAGTAGTCTGAGAATCTGTTGGTCCCGGATTGTTCGCCGGATGAAGTCCAAGCATCGTTGTCTTCCTCTCTCCATAGCCGGGCTTGAGCCTCGACTACTCCGTCCATAGCCAGTCAGCACTCACCCACTTCTCTGCCATAGCCAAGGATCTCTTCTTCATCACCCTCGGCCTCCTTTCTCACCTACCGTCCTAGCTCTGCCTCTCCGCCCTCCTGGCAGAGTAGCAGCAGTGGATCACATGCGCGTGCTCCTTGGCCTGTAGGCCTTCTACTCCGGGTCCTCTCAGCCTCTGCCCGTGGACTCCGGCCCATTGGTTCATAGTATTTGGTCTTGCCCACCACAGCCACCACTACCATCCCCACCACTAAACAAAGAAAGGGAAAAAAAAAAAAAAAAACAACAACAACGAGTTGACGCGTTGGATATGCTTGTTGTCCACCAGGTCCTCCCCCCCTGGCACAATCCTTCTGGAGAGGAATAGGGTGAACAATCCTTCTGGAGAGGAATAGGGTGAGAGTGGACGCGACATGGTCTTTTTTTTAATGTAGTATTTCACTCGTCTGCTTCCAATGGAGTTTGAACTGGGGTCCATATTTCAACAAATTCAGGGGGGGCTTACGAACTGGGGTAGGCCAGTTGGTCATGGCCAATTTATTTGGGGGACGAATCTGGGGATGGACGGAGAGGGGTTAAATTATACCTGTTGAATATTTAAATTGTTTGTAGTAACGTAAGAGTAACTTAATACGGATTACTGATAATCCCTACACTTATAAAAATCGCTAATGTCTGAATTCTGAAATCCGGGCCGTCTTTGGACCTACAGGCCCGACGGCCTGGATTGGGCCCCGATCTTAGATCTTTAAGATCGCGCGGAGATCCAGGCCGTTCGCTGTAGCACCTGCCCGACAGCCCAGATCGCACCGCGATCTTAAAGTTTTAAGATCGCGGGCGAATCTGGGCTGTCGGCCCGTTTACGGCCCGGATTGCCGCAGTGCGTTAGGGAAATCGGTCCGAAAAGACCGTTGGCGGGCGGGCGGGAAAAGTACGGCCCTACGCGACGCGACCTACCTACACAACCTACGATACGCTACGCACCTACCTACGCAA